TTATTTTCAATAAATATAGCAAAATGGAACTTCAGACATTTGAGAGTAATATTTTTCCCCATAAACCGTGTTGTGCGCATATATAAATGATAACGATCTTTACAAGGTACTTTCTCCGCTAAACTTCTTAAATGTTACCTGCTGGAAAGGCACATAAAGATGAGGTATTTTGTATATTTGTTACCAAACATTGCTTTTATAGTAATTTTCTTTTCAGATTTAATTCTGAGCTAACAAGCCATATAGGAGTCATTGTCAAAACCAGATAATTTCTTAATGCAGTGTTTTGCATAGTTGAAATTTTGTAACTATCATCAAGTGAGAATTTATTTTTAAAAACACATGTTTTTGAAAGCAGGCTGTTTGGTCAAACTAAAACTTGAATGTTGATTAATTTGTAATGTGGCCAAACATTAACACATCCCCCACCCCCCATCCTCCTCCCCCAGGAAAAAAACCTTCCTAAATGTTCTCGTTACCAAAAGGCTGACTGCCTTTATGTGTTCTCAGGAAAATATGCCACAACAGGTGTAACAGCAGACCCATTGTACTTCGGAAGTAATCACAGTGACCTTAAGAAATGGTAACAATCCATCCAGCAGGTCATTGTTAAATAGTCATGATCAGGTAGATCAGACTGTTAGGGGACCATTCTCAACCAATACTCCTTTCCAGAAAATCGGGAAGAAATAGTATTTTAGACTCCATTGTGTCAGTCTGATACTTTACAGAATTCATGTTATGTATTTATACAACTGGTTTTTTATGTATCCTTTTCAAGGTCTGTTAGTACTCATGCAATGAAAAAATTTGGTTTGAGTCTTTAGACCTTTGCTTCCATGTTGGCTATTGTAGGAACAGCATCAAGAAAGTCGCATTCTAAAAACTGATTTTTTTCCAAGACACAGAAAATTAACCAGATTTCAAGATAAAAGAAAATTGCATTAGATATTTCTCTTAATTTCTCCATCGTTTCAAACATGCAGCTGCTATAGGATGAGACCTGGTATTTTGAAACAGGCACTTAGTATTGTCCACAATTTGTATTTTAGGAGATCCTATGGCTTTCCAAAACCTGAGTTCTGGCACAGGATTAGGATTTTTTCAGGGTAAGGCTCTAGCCTTTGCACTGTTCGTGTCAATTTTGAAATGATGACCTGAGAGGGAACTTCAAAGATGGAAAAAACACAGTACCAAAAACCCAAAATATGGTATTCTGATTCCTTTCAAAGATTTGGTCTCATTTATTTTGAAGGTAAGGCAGGACAGAAGGGGAGGGGAGAAAAAAGGTTGTTTCATGAGTGTTTAGGTGTTAAACAGGCTAATGAATAGACTCTGATTTATCCATGGAATGTGTTTCCTCTGTGTAAACCCAGCAACATCATTTGTTCCGTACACTTTGGAGTTGACGGTTCCAAAGGCAAGCGCAAGCTATGCCTGGACTTAGTGATGTGCTGCAGCCAGGAGCAGTCTCCTCCTCCTCTCTCTTGGGCAGTGCTGCTGCAACACAGGGAAAGGCCATGTTCCTCCACCCTTGGAGTCTGCTCTTTGCTTTGAGAGGTGCCATTTCAGAAGGCTTAGTTCATGTTTTTATCTTATGTCCTGTCCCAGTTAAAACAACTGAAATAGAAGCTGACAATGTAACTTCCAGCTTACACCCCTGTGTAAAATACATTGTCATGGCTGCTATTTGCATTCACGCAGCGTTTTTTGTGTCCTGAGGACACAGTTGCATCGTCGAACCAGCTCGTTTAAAGCTAGCTTAGTTATGTCCACGTAAGCAACTGTCTCTTGCATTAGGATAATAACTTGCAAATCAAAAGCCTTACCACTGGTACATTGTAAGATGCAGCGAACATCTTCATTCCCTGTCAGGGAATCCTGTCCTTGCAGTATTTTGGAAGATTGCAAAGTGCCTACAAAGTACACGCACAAGTAGTACGTCTTAGTGGCAGATGTAGCAGAAAAGCATTGAAGGCAGTAGTCTGCTCTTTCGATGTGACCTGTGGACAGCAGGGCAGAGTGTTGCTGGAACATTGTCTCCTCAGCATTGTTCCTGCTTTGGCTTGTTTCATCTGCACGTGTCCAAGGTTTCAGAGTCTGTGAGGCACACAGATTCAGCACTTTTTTCACTTGATACTTCTGAATCTTTTCAGGTTAACTCTTTCATAATTGGTTATAAATTCATGGACGTTACTGTTTTCAGAGTAGTCACTGTGAATTTAAATTGCTTCTCAGTGGAACATTGTGAGAGTAAGTCCTCATTAATTTTGGTTTCAGTCCCTGGTAGCAGAAGATGCTTGGTTCACCTGATTCTGTTTTCCTTGTAGTTTCCTACCAAAGTAGTACCAGTCAGTGGACTGATCTGAAAGTGCTGGACAGTAGAAAAGATGGAATTGATTTTGTTTTTTATTATATACCACTTATCAAAACAATATATATCTATACTCATGAGGGCATAACAATACCCATCAGGAGCTAGTCTGTTATATATAAATGTATATAATATACTAGAATTTCCAGGTAGCAGTCTCATTATTATATAGCAAGATATGCTGTGCTAGTTTGCTTAATAAATTAAGAAAGCATATAAATATTTATAATCTGCATGTTCATTATTTAAAAAACATCCAGTAGCGTAAGTTCAGGCTATTTTTCTCCACTGTCTAGAAGCAGGATGTGTAAGCAGGGAGTCACTTGTTTACATGGCACCATATTTGTGTGCAGAGCCACCTGTGGGACTTTCAGTATTTAACTTCTGCAGCAACTTACACCATCCCACATCTGACTAGAGGTTAGCCTGAACCTGTATTTATTTCATTTTTTCACGTAAGCTATCCTTTGAGAGGGATCAAAAAGCTCTTCAAAAGGAGCCGTAGGGGCCCCTGAAACGGTGTCTCTATCCGTTTCTGCAGCTCTGACCTTTTATGTAGAGAACAGTGGTATCTAATTCTTTTTTTGTACGAGGACTTAACCGATAATATCACAAAGCTTTGGGGCCTTGAGGACCTCCTCTGCTAGGCACAGCTGGTAGCATCTGTGACGCCTGCCCCTTTCCCCCAGCACGGACACATGGGAGGGCACAGTATGTTGCAACACAAAGTGAAGCAGCAGATTTTATCTAAGTATCACCTCACTACCCTCCTCTTTCAGGACCGGTGCGGAGAAGAGGCTGGAGGTGCTGAGCATCCCCCTTTTCACCAGCAGAGCCTATTAAACTCTTTTTCTTGGGGCAGCCATGGACCCTGGTTACCATGGTGATAGGGATGAACTTGACACTTCAAAGCACAGCTCAGGGAATCACGTTTTTGGTTCATAATCAAATACAATTTTTCTTTTTAATAATGCTACCCTACAAAGCTGTAATTTAGAGTCCTGGAAGCAACAGCTTAGATGTACCCAAACCCTAGTGAATTTCTGGCATGCCTTCATCTCCGAGAAGCTGCACTCCAAGAGAGAAGCTCTTTGGAAGCCATAGAGAAGGGAGCATTGTAAGGATTCCCTTCCCAGTAAACGTATCTCCAGCTTTCAACCTGAAAAAGAAAAATCTTAAAAGAGGGGCCAGCGGTATGCCAAACTGACTCACATGAGGACATCTGTAAGACCTCGTGAATCATGTGCATAGTTTGCTGGAACAAGTTGCGCATCCTGTCTCCCCCATCCCTGCAAAAGCACATTCAAGTGTTTTCATCAAATAGAATCAGCTGAGACTTTTTATTTTTAACGTAATTAAGCTAAAAGGGGTTATGGATCTTCTCTCTCTGTACTTGAATTTATTAATTAACTTTCAGACTTCTAAAAATTTCCTTAATTGCACAATGATTATCATTCTAGCAAAGCAGTAACAAAACAAAACTGTAACAGTAACAAGACAAGACAGTCTTTCTGGGCAGATGATTAAAACACGGGGCAGACCATTCTAAAATAAAATATCCGTCAGAGAATCTCACTTAGTTTCTCAAAAAACCCTTTTCTCAGGTGATAGATTGACATATTACCAGAGCTGGCTGGAACTCCAGTTTCGTTTGATATTATCCTGATGTTACCTTGTTGAACTCATTCAGACGTCATTCCTGGTTTTAATTAAAAGTTTTTGAATGCCACATAACAAAGGTGCAGAACAGATTATCTTGAGCAGAGCTATTTTGAATATCAAGCTATGCAGCAATGAAACCAGTTTGTGAGAATTCAAAGATCTGCCACAAACTGAAATTAACATTCAAAGAAAATGCAGTGTAATAAAATAGCAGCTTTAATCATGCATAAAACAGAGTTTCTTCCCTCACTCGCACGAAGGAAACCCAGCATAAAATGCTGTGAATGTTCAGAGAGTCAAACAGTACGGTGAGAAGGTTGCATATAAAATCTTGTTCAAAACCTCTGATTTAAAAGCTGCATTTTAGAAGACTGGCGGTTCTCTAAGTGGTACCATATAAGCAGCCCTGCGAAATCCTACCAGAATTTTCTGCTTGAATAATTTTGTTTGGATGAGCAAGTAGAATATCATTATCTTGATTCCAGCACTATCTCCTCAGGAAGGTATAGGTGAATACATTTTGTGCTGAGTCTCATAAATTCTCTGACAATTTTGCAAGGCTGTGTGTAAATTCTGAGCCACTGAAGGAAGGAGAAGACAGGAAAACAATATATGCCGTGACTGGATTCCTTATGCCATGATATACTTTAAGAATTAAGTATGAAAATTAGGCAAACACTGGAGTTTAGAAGTAAGTGTTGAATTTTTCGGTGTATTTAATTAAAAAGATTCTGAAAAATTTAGAGGAATTAGTTACATCAGCAAGTTATGAGAATAAGACTCTACCTCACCAATTGTTTAGAATTTTGCTGTCCCTGAGAGTGTTAGCAATCCTAGTCTAATTTAGTGCTGTTCACAGTTGAACTTCATGCTATTGATCATGGAAGTCAACTAATTGAATATTGTCCTTAAGTATCAATGAAAACAGGGAAAACAACTGCTTACATGGTGACTATTACTAGCAATGTACAGAGCCAGAATTGCTGGATCTGCTTATTTTATGAACTTTGTGAATAAGACTGTGGAATACGATTGCTGTTACTGTTTGTTTGCTCAGAAGAAAGGTGAGTGGATAAGTTACTCAGTCTGATGTTCTTCTCCCAGTCTAGCTCATACGCCTTCTGTGTAGGCAGCTATCCTTACGGGGGGGAGGGAAATGTAGTTAACTGCTTGTTTCAGATTAGAAACTCTTGCAAATTTTATGCAAGATCACTTTGCACTGGTTGAGAACTGTAAGATTCTCTCTTCTTAGACTTACAGGGTCAAATTGTGAAAAATACAGTAATACGCAAGGTTATTGTAAAAATTAACAATCGAAGATCTATTAAAGTAAGACTGCCCAAGGGAATTAATAGCCAATAGAGTCAATTTTTGTATGATCATCATTCTGTTACCATGCAAGGTTCTTTTTCAAATTGATAAACTACCTTTTAATACAGTCTACTGTTTAAGATATAAGAAAGGATCACAGGACTAGTCTACTTAAAAGGACTGTTAGAATTAGTAAAGCAGATGTTTTTATAACTTAAATCATTTGAGACCCTTTGTTTAGAAATATCCAGTAGTTATCAAAATAATGCTATTTTTAACTACTGTATCTCTCCGATTTAGAGAGAAGGATGATGTGGGGGACCATGTCAAAGGCTTACAGAAGTCGAGATAGATGTCATGCATAGCTCTTCCCTTGTCCACTGATGTAGTCACTGCATCATAGAAGGCCGCTAGGTTGGTTAGGCAAGATTTGCCTTTGGTGAAGCCTTGGTTGGTTGAGTTGCTTTGTTTGGCAAAACCAGCAGTTCTGCCTTTAGAAGAGTCACTTCAGAGAAAGAGAAATCCTGGCAGTCTTGTAGTCGAGAGAAGAGAGAGAGTAAATTCTGAAAGTAAGCAGAATTTATTATGCTGCTGTAGTCCTTGTGCAATCAGCAACCAGGAGATGCGGACTTACACACGGAAGTTTAACACATAGGCACAAGGTTTCTATGGTTTTGTCCTTTGGTCGAGTATGTGTAAGCCCACGCATGCTTATTGCAATACACTTCGAACTATCAAAGTTAAAACACAAGTCATATGAAATATTTTGAATTCTTAAGTTTCATTGAATGATTCTGTGCTAGATTCAATGGCTTCCTCAAAATCATATACTTTATTGCATACAATGCTCATGCACATAAATAATAGATTAGAGTGTGATTTATATCTATAATTGCTTTTATATAGTCCCCAAAGGTAACATTTGGTCTAGAGAATGCATATATTATCTGTTGCTGGAAACATACATAAAGTAATCCTGGCTTCATTTAAGTTAAAAGCAATTTTTCTGTTGATACTGGGGAGAGAGGTAGCGTTTTGCTGATAGATTTTAGCATTTTGGATATAGGAGTCTCAACTACTGGTTATCTGCTTGCTTAGTCTATGACTGTTCAATATAATTTTTCTCCACTAATTTAGGACTGTGTGGTACGTTTCCAGTGAGCACCAGCTTTATCTCATAAGCAGTATTAAAGCTCATGGAATGAGTTACTATCTCTTACTTCAAACCCCTTAGTGTAAGGAAACCAGAATAAAGTAACAAGCAGTTGATATCCCCCTGGCTTTCCACAGTTATTCTAAAAACTTGGACAGATTGCTGCATTTTGAACAGTTACTGACGATCCAAACTCAATCATTTCTTACAGAACATGTAACAAAACACCAGTGCCTAAGTTAGGCAAATAAGTGAACTCCCTCAGTAACCTTTCCTACAGATTTTCTGAGAAGTGCGTAGTTGTTTCTCTAAGGTAACTTTTCTGAACGAAATAACGTTGTGAGTGGCCAAGCAATAATTTTAAACATGACCCTGAGAAGCACCTATATTGCAGCTTGATCTATCAAGCAATAAGGGCCGTATCTTTCTCCAGGGAAGTGTGAGACAGGTCTCTCATGCTTTCCCCTCTACTCTCTTATCTCTCACTAATTCTTCTGTGAAAATACCACCGTCCTGATCAAGGCTCAAAGCCTGTATTTTGGGATGTATTTTTGAGCCTTCAACTTTTGAAGTGCGTCTTCAGGTCACATCCAATGCTTGTGATTCATATTTTGAAATCTCTCAAAGACCTGGGCTTAAATCTCCATCCACACAACTAAATCTCTTGCTCAAGCCTTAGTTATTTTGCAGCTTGAATAGTTTTTAACCTTTGCTAGATCAGAGCTACCCAGCTGCACTAACGTTGTACTCACGGTGATTCCAGAGACAGTGACTATCCTGCTCCTGCATGATCCCCTCTCTACCCTTTTCTCAGTACCCCTTACAGCAAACATGTTTTTTTTTTCCCGTTGGCATATAAAGCCATTTATATTTTAACTTTGATTGATCTTTTGACTCTACTGATTGGCCTTTTGGCTCTACTGCTTATCAAATGTTCCGTCGTGTTTGTCACATACAGCTAATAGTAGACTGGGACTTGATTCATTTTAAGCATTGAGGATTTCAAACACCGCTTTCTTCCCCTTCCTCCTCAGAAGTCATCTCCCTTGTTTCCTCTGTTAGACAGCATCATATGTGTATCCGGCATTAATTCTAGCTTGTATGAGAGTATGTGCTGTTTGTACGCAGCTACACATACACGCACTGCTTCCCTGATGCTGACTCTTACCCCTGCACACCTCAACAGCTCACAATACAAACAAAATATGTAGTATTGAGTCTGTGCAGGTTATGTATGCAAGTGTGCATGCAGCCGTGTATTTACACGGAGGAGGAAGCATTTAGTATTTCTCAGCAGATAGAGTTCAAGCGGTAGGGGAGAGAGATGATTATGATGATGAAGTCTTATGATGATGATTAAGTTTTATAATTAAAGCACTGTCTGCCTAGCTCTCGCATGGGTGTCTGGAAGAGAGCACGTTCCTAACTCAGAAGGTTGTTCTGAGGGTGAGTTGTTAGTAAGTGGTTCAGATACTGCTGAGATGGAAGTTACAGAAACAAGTAATAAAGAGTGATTTTAAATGTCAGCATGATCCTTCCCTCAAAAGATAATATGGGTTCCTGCACATGAAACCTGAATAGAAATGGTCTGAGTCACATGGTTAAAAGCAGAAAGTATTAGATACCAGTTATCCCTGGTGCTGACTACACTGGTTTTCTGAAAGACTCATGGAGCAGGTTTTGGGGGGAACAGTAGCCTTTCTCTTGTGTGGCTTCACCTAGTTTTTCGTTCTGCTTGTTTTGGTAGTCTGTTGAGAAGTCTTCTAGTTTCAGAGTAAAGAACATTTTCTATGTAATGGCATAGGCGTGCTGATGATACCAACAGCTTGTAACTACTCCACGTGCAGCTTCTGTGAGGGTGGAGAGGTCAAGTGGCATCTGCTGCCTGCCAGGTGGAGAGTTGAGAGAAGAAGGGTCAGAGAGAAAGCAAGCCAGCACATGTACCCACCCATGCCTGTGAGCAGGGGAAAGGCAAAGTGCTAAGCCACAGCCTTACAAAGTTAAGAACTAGAGAACTGAAGAGCCGTTTCCTATTTTACAAGTAAACACCTCATGGGATTTTACCCCTGGCTGAAACCTATTTATATTTTTTGATATTTTTGCCAGGCTGAAAAAACCCCGTGTTCCCCATGCTTTGTATGCCAGGCTGTGATGCAAAGAGGTGCAGAGTGAATGGCTCTGTGCTTTCGTATGTATTCTGTTTTCCTCTCTGCTGTAACCTCTGGCCTCAGCCCACTCAGCTGTGTTACAGAGTGGTTTCATCTTTGAGTAGAACCGCGAGTTTGGGTTTTTTTCAGGGCCTATAAACAGAAATAAAACTATTGCTAATTTCAGGCTTGGCTTTGTGGATGGCCTTGTTTGTAGAATCAAAATTCCCAGTGGAATGCAGATCTCAGACCAGATGCCATATAGTGAATTAATATACAAAGGTGGACTGAAGTTGGATGAAGGAGAGAAGGACCAGGGCATAGGGTGCCAGCTGTGGCTCGGAAAAGAGAGTTTAATTTACTGTTTGTGAGTTAACGTAATCTCACTAGTCGATGTTAAATATTCCATATTTAATATCCGAAAAATAACATTAAAGGAAGTGATGATGATTTAGTTAATAGATTGTCTCTTGCTTTGTCTTCTGCTTTGTAATACAATATTTGAAATTATTACCAATGATTATTTTCTTGTCTCTACTGCTTACACATTTAAGCAAGTTCTTTTTTGATTCATTTAGCAGCAGCAACAGAAGAGCCTGAGGTGATTCCAGATCCAGCTAAACAAACAGATCGAGTGGTGAAAATCGCAGGAATAAGTGCTGGAATTCTGGTATTCATCCTACTTCTCCTTGTTGTCATATTGATCGTCAAAAAAAGGTAAGAAAATGATCTGTGCTGATCCCTCTTTTTTTCTTCCATATCAAATAGTAACTAAATGAGTATTTTTACAGGTCTTTAATTAAAAAAAATGGTTTAGGACCAGTAGCTCCCATCAGTTTTAGGATGAGTTCTTTGTGTTACCTGTTGTTTTTGCTGTGGTTCTTACAATGGATTTAAAGAGAGGATTTCTTTTTATTTGGGATCCAATAGCTACACATTTTCTCATAGTTATTAATTTCCAAGTAGTTTTAAGTTGCAGCTAGAAGAACATACAGAATATTAAAATGGGTGGAATTGAAATTCATGGAACCTTTTTTTTCTTAAAGCAAAAAAAAAATAAAAAAACAACTTAATGCACTCTTCATGTTGTAATCACCTAATGAATTTGATTTTCTATATGCAGCTCTAATGAGTTATTTGTATCTGTATGTTATCCAACTTGCAAAATAATGTAATTTTATACTTCTATTTATGCTCTTGTAAACCTGCAGTTTTTTCTTAAAAGTCATACCACATCACTGTAAAATTATCTAACGAGTCCTTAGTGCATGAAATTGTTTAAAAGTGTATTAATTTGAATGAATTTTAATTTTTTCACTGCTTTCTTAGACAGTAAGCAATATCGCCATCTTCTGGCATTGCACAATGCCAGCTCTGCATCCAAACGCTCGTACCTGTAGTAAATTATGTGACCCTATTGCTCGGCCAGTTTTTAAGTCTCGACTTCCCAGTAGTTACAACTCTTTTAACCTGACATAAAAGTTGATAATACGACTCTATAAATCCGTAGTTACAGCATCAAAACCAATTTCTCTCTTCCTGTGCACCCCCTCCCTGGCGAGTCCCTTTCGCAGGGCACAAGCTGATTTCTCTTGAGTAGAACAAGACCTTTGTCTTCCAGTGGTGTGTTCATTGTGTTCCCTTGCCTTTTGCAGAAGTCTTAATGAAAAGTATATTTGTAAGTGTTGCAAATGTTCCTCTGAAATGCAGCTTGCTATTATTTTTAAAGATTAAGAAAAAAATTAAAATTGTACCTGAGATCATTCTATATGTTATGATTACTGGTTTGCATTAGATTTTTTTAATTTATTGCCTCTTTACAATTGTCCCTGGAGATATATAACTTGGAGAAGGAACGTCTGCATTAGAAACATTAGGTATGCTTATAGTGTTCTGTGTTAGTTAGCTACATATGTGATTTTTCCCAAAAGTGCTTTTACTTTTCTCTGTTGTTTTCCTTTGTGGTTGAGAATTAACACATATGCAAAAGGTCCAGCTCATCCTATGCAAAAAAAAAGACATACAGTTAGCCAATATCCTTTCTTTACACAACTTTTGAAAAACAAGCAAACAAAAAAAGTTGGTTTTCAGGAAGAAATCTCTATTTTATGGCTTTATTGCAAGATATGTGCTGGGGAGTATCGTCTTCTCAGTGCGTGTTGCAGCGAGCGGTCCCATTATGTATAACAGAAGGCTCTGTGTGTGTGTGCGCATGTGCGTGTATGTGTGAGGGAGAGAGAGGCTGTCTACCATTCTATATAGTCAGTCACTTCCAGATGGGATTGGCTAGTTCTGCAGGTAACAGAAAAAATAAGATTAAAATTCAATGTGTTCATTTTTCCTATCCTTTTTACCTCTCGCGTCCAGAGTCCTTTTAGACTCGTACTTTCCCTGTTGAATTGTTTGATAAAAGTAAGTTAATCATGTCCGTGAAATGATATTTTAAAATTTCCCCTTTTTTCCCCCTTTCCCTTTTCTGAACCTGTGAAGTCAGTAACCTCTTAGGAATGATACTTGATCATCACTCTAAAGCACATAACATTTCTAAACTCCTGTACTATTTTGTATTCAAAATAGGTGAGAAATTAACCTGTTTAATGAATCTTTAATGTTTGGCAATTTTTCATCATGATAGTTTAATTGGTTGTCTATCGCATACGTTATAGGTGTGCCATTCCCTCCCCCCTGCTTAGGGAAAGTGGGCAGTTTTTTTTTAATATGAGCTTTAGTCAAGATCTCCTACAAAAAAAGCATAGAAAACCTTCGTACACCTGAGTTAATTCAGCCCATCTAGTGAATGAGGGCAATGCACATAATGAAGGCAGGAAGAGCTGTAAAAACCCTGAGACATTCACACGTACATAAACACAGTTCACGTAGTTGTGGTGGGACTGAAAACCCATCCGTCTGAATCATCTTCTGTAGTGTACATATTCAGTGATCCATTATGTAGTATCCCTTTTGGTACCCGAACTGACCACAGCTTAAGACGTGGAAAAGTCAATAAAACAATGGTTTCTGCATTTGCATTGGTTTATGAAGTCATATGCACAGCCATCGCTATCTCGATCTGATTAAATGCAGCATTACATTTTATTGAAAAATGGAGTACTAAGCAGTTTTGTTCACAAGCTTGAGATGTTTTAGGCTTTGCCTGATCATTCTGTACAAATTGATTTGAAGTTTTCCCGAATGAAGCTCTTAACAGCTCTTACAGAGTTTTACTGGAGTAATCAAACCAGCTAAGAAAAGGGATACTGCATCTTTAACAAGCAATGCCATTTTCGTTTTCTAAGTCGTTGTTGGACTATTTCCAAATGTCCTTCATTTCCTTCCATTTGTTTATCTTCCATATTTTTAATGCTTAGCATGACTACATCAGCATTTCCCATTGTAAGATTTTAAAATAGAAAGCATATGTTTGCATTCAGGACATGTGTGGTATATATGTCAGTACACACATATCTGTTGTAAATGTGTATTCTTTAGAATGTGTGTACTCATATAGCTACATATAGTACTCATACAAACATATATGTATACACCTGTATACCGATAAAGATGTTAAAATGAATGACATGAAATTTGTTTTCTGATTAAATGTATTTATTAATGCAGTCTTTAGTTTTTGTAACTGAAAAGTAAAACGCATATTTACTGCGCAAGATTTGTACACAGCTGTTCATTTGTCATGACATCTAGGTGGTAGTCATTATATTATGCTGAACTGCATGTTGAAAATACACAATCCATTGAATTTTCAAATTTTTTGGCAATAAATGAAATTTCAGCATGTAATTTTCTCAAGTGATCTTTCTAAAAAACAAATCATTTTTATATGCTAGTGTATTTTTTTTTTTAATTGCATGGCAAAGTAAGGCTGGTTTGTGCATGAGCAAGTTGAAATGCTAACCAAAGAAACATGAATTTTTCAATTTTTTTTTTAAACGCACATTTCTCTGCTTTATTGAATGTGACAGAGTCACGCTTTTCATTCACCATTGCTTCTCTTTTTCCACTGTCTGTGATTTGCTTGCCAGGAGGAGCTACTATTCTTACTCCTACTATCTGTAAGTAGAATACGGGTGACTTACTATTTTACATGTTTTAAAGATGCAGTATCCCTTTTTAAAAAAGAAAAACAGTCTCTATAATTTTCCTAAAGTTTCGTTGATAGTTACCTTTCTTTATTCTCAGGCTTGAAAAATTGCTTGTATCATTGTTGCTCTTATTCTTAACCTGTTGGTTTGTTTTTTTTAAAAGGGATATTGTATTTCTAACTGTGTATTGAGACTGCTGGTTTTTGCTACAGTTTTTCCATAACTCTCATTTTAGTTTATTGTAATCATAATTTAATTTGCATTACGATTCACGGTGACACATCACACTAAGGAAAAATCCTCTTTTCCCACTTCCTAGCTAGAGAACTGTGCTTGTAAACCACAGATTGTTCGTTTTTTAGCGTATCAGTTCAGGAGTGATCCTGTGCACCACTTTTCCTACACAGGTCGTAGGCAGATGCAGACCTTTATAAATAGATCTCTGCCCTACCAATGGCAGAGCAACATGTCTGCCTCTGTGGTACCAACCTTTTTATTTTTTTTTTTCACAGAAATATTTTTTGAGAAGTGGTCTGCATCTGTTGCTTGTGAGGTGCTTTGCATACACTTTTTAAAGTGTGGACCTTACTTTGTTATGTTGGTTTGCATAAAGTTTTGCTTCATTGAAGCAAAATTGACCTTTTTTTGTACATGTTGACCAAATTAGTTTTTGTGAGAGCCGCGGCAGTTTTGGCTGTGATTGAGCGAAGCCGTTACACACATTCTTTATTTAAAATAAATGCATAAAGCCCTTGACTTCAGAGGGGATCTAAGAATGCACTCAAGTGCTTTGATGAACCGGTGGTGTCTGATAATGATGCTCTTCCACATTTTTAAGCAGATTAGCTGACTTCTTTAAACTAAAAAATAATGAAAAAAAAAAGCTAAGCTGGCTTAGCTAACTGCCATTCTCGAGTTTATTGTGACAAATTATAATTTCCTTGTTAAATAACAATTGCTTCAGCTCCAGATAATTAACCGCACAGTTTCATCCTATGATGGAGCACTTTTCCCCTCCAGCTCCCACTGAAACACCCACCTGCGCAGGTTCACCCAACTGGATCCTTCAGCAGATAACGAGAATCATTTATGCTTTCTGGCAGCCTCAAGTACTTTAACCTAACGATTTGCTTAACCATCATGAAGCATAGGTCACATGTACCTTTAGCTGAGTGAGGGAAGAAAAAAAGGAAAGGAAAAAGAAGTCATCAAACCCCGAGGGAGCCGGCAGCTGTTGAACAATAAAGCTGTCCTCCCATTTCCCAGCAGCTTCTGGTTGCGGTGCTACAACACAATAGGCCTTTTAAGAGCTGAAGCAGAGCATAGGAGTTAGAAAGTAGCTACTGTAATAAGCTAATAACTTGAAAGCCTTAATAGCTGTTGATTTATTTAGCATAGCTAGCAAGTTTTCTTACAAAGTGATGCTTCAAAGAAGGGCTTAATATAGCCGAGAGATGAGATGTGGTAGTCTTTTTGTTCCATTTCTGAGGTGGCGTTAGAAAAAGGTGATGTTCTGTGCGTAGAGACTATGCAAAAGGCTTTGAAAGTTAAAAACCAGTCTGAATTAGAAATGCTAGTTTTGTGAAAGCTTTGATAGTAGTGGGAACCAGTTATAAAGCTCAAGCAGTTTCACTTCTGGCAGTTCTGATGGTCTTAATTTGTTTGACCAGAGTATCGTTTAACTTTTCATAAGTAAATAGGCATGTATAAAATAAAACATTTTAGGGGGACATCCAACTGTCACTTTTTTTTTTTTTGGTTTTCACTGAACAGCTGATACACACAGAACCTTCATGTACACCACAAGAGTTTGGTGAAAAAATGATGGGTTCAAAGACCGCCTTTGGGATTTTTGTAGTGAGGGGGTTATTGAGTAGCAATTTTCCAACTAGTCTATCTGTAAATGGGGAAAAGAAGTGGGGAAGGAAAATACAGAGATGAGCCTGATCGGTGAAAGAATCTTTGTTATTCTTAGGAGTGCTTTGTCCATCTATATCCTACCTTGTGGCCCCTTACTGTGAACCAAGACTTTTAACTTAAGAAACAATCCTCTAACATTTTCTTAAATACGCAAAGTGCTTTCTGCCCTAGAGAGTGGTGTAGGTCCTTTCTAGTGGGTGCTCCTAAGACTTAACAAGTAAATAGATGGATAATTTACACTAATATTCTTTTTGTCTACTGTTAAGAGTGCTGATATTAAAAGCTATTGGAGAATAGAGGAACAGCAAGCAGTCTTTTTAGTCAGAGAAATGTAAGATAAACACTAATAGGATATGTGATGATATTTTATGCAGAAAAAACTGGTGAAGCTAAACTGTGTTTTAAGAACCCAGTATTTTCAGCGTTGATTGTGTCTCTCCCATGTGGTGTCAGATTTATCCGAATAAGCAGGTTGGCTATCTATTATATTACAGTCACAGCTTCAAATGAAAACAGGGAAATTCAGAACAGTCTAATGTATGGCACAGGTCCCTGCAGAACCAAGGTGCACTTCACGCTACTCTGCATACTTTCTACTACTTGAGATATATGCTTTAAGAGCAGTAGACTTCAAGTGATAATTAAATTATATTGTCTGCTTCCATCTGACTTCTGGAGATGGTGAAAATCACTTCTTCATCAAAGGGAAAGAATTGAGAGATTTAAAGTGTGCACTTCAAGGGCATTGACTGTTAATTTGGGGAGTTTAGTTGTACTGATTAGGTTGCTGTTTAACTGTGATACATTCAGAGTGTAAGACTGTTAATGTCAAAATTTAAGATGCTCTCAAACTGCATGAAAGGATAGAGTGGGGATGTGGGTTTTGTTTGGTTTTTTAAAGAACCAAAGTTCAGTGTCAAGAACAAAGTATGGTGTCGTGTTATATCTTGTATACTGAATGAGAGGAACACATTTTGACATAAAAGGTAATATGAATCTGTATTGAATAATTATGTTTCTTTTGTTATTTCATAGGTTTTTTGACTAACAAAGTAGTTTAGAAGGTGAAATGATTTATTTCTAACAAGGCAAGCAAGGGGAATGAATTATCCATTTATAAAATCAAAACACAGATTTAAATGGAGATGGTTGATAAAACTGCATGCACAGATGCTTCTGATTTATCATTTCAGTTAAAATGTAATTATATTCTCTAATTTGTTTATATTAGTGTAATCACTCCACAGGAGAAAAAAAAAATATTACCAGGATACAGAAGTTAGCACTTCCATTACAGCCTTTGTGTGTGTACAGAAAACACACAATCGCAACTCTTTCATAGCAGGGTGCATAGTTTTATCCATTTCACGCTGGAAAAGTTGTACGCAGGAAAATCAGCCGAACTTTTCAGTCACTCAGGATTATAGATAACGATTACTGTAGACATCAGTGTTCATCAAATGTTAAGGTGGTTTGGGTTTTTCTTTTTGGCTGGGCAGCAAACTTGCGAAGAAACGCAAGGATGCCATGGGGACCACCCGCCAGGAGATGACGCACATGGTGAACGCTATGGATAGGAGTTACGCTGACCAGAGCACCCTGCATGCAGAGGATCCCCTTTCAATCACGTTTATGGACTCTCACAACTTCAGCCCCAGATGTAAGTACGACAATGATAGATACTCTGGAGTGTAGGTGAATATAGAAACATGGAAAACAATTTTACTTTTTAAGGAAAACTGTTGTAAGCTCCAGGTTTTCTTGGAACACTGGTAAACCCAAAGGTTGAGTAAGGATGTTCGTATGTTATCCTTATTGGTATGTGACCGATTATTTAAATATTTACATGTGCTTTCAATGTGCAGTGGTACTTGTTCTAGGGAAAATATTACACTTCTAGAATATCTCAGTTACAATCTGGAGTTGAGTTTTTGCTGCATAACACCATGTCTGTAATGAATAATAATATGAGGTCCAAATTAATTTCTTTCTTTTGGCAGTAAGGACATTATAACAGAAGGAAACAGACAATTTGCCTTTCTGTTTGTGAAGTTTAGGAACAAGCTTGTTAATATATCTGCAAATTTGCTCTATATTTGTATTCCTTTTGTGTAGACTTGCCAACTGTCTGATTTTGATAAAGTTTGGCAGTTTTGATTTCTTACTGTCAAGTGTCTGGGTTAAAGCTACTGTTGTCCAGCAAGCCTGCCTGCCAGCATCTGCACTATGCCTTGCACAAAAGCAAGATGTTCCACAGGCAGACTCTGAATACCTGGAAACTAGTGTGTGAGTTACTGAAGGGACACAATTCTGCTATGGAATTGGCAAGAACCTGACCTTTGCACGGCCACATGGACTTGTGGCTTGGCTTTAAACAGATCGGAGCAGCCTGAGCTGCTTCTAAATTGACATCTTTTAGGAATGGCACTTCATTTCCCTTCTCCTGCCTTCCATACTGCTTACCATCCTTCAGCAAAATATGTCCCTGAAGGCTGAAGTTCTTTCCTGACTGTTATAAGGAAAATGGGTTTTGGAGGTGGGTTTATTGCTCAGTTTATTGAAGCTTACCAAACTGCAGAGCACTAACTTTTAAAGTGTCTCCAAACTAGTTCTAAGGGGGAGTTTAGTATCAGCCTGTGAGTTTTCCTGCACAGTTTTAGCTGGAACTGTTTCAAAGTTCTCCAAAGTTTGATGTCTTATTGGCACTGAAATTTGTGAAGGTAGGTTTGCAAAGACAGTTCAATTTAGACTAGGTTATGGTGGATCCCAGGCAAAGGTTCCATCAGGAACCTACATGACTATTAGTAAACTGGGGCTGCCAGACACTTGGGCAGCCTTCCAGATGGACCAATGTGACACCAAGAGCCCATGAGCCCCAGCCACCACAGCTGTCCTAGTTGGTTGGTAAAGAAGTTTGGTATCACTGTTTTCTAGTGTCCTAGGTATGTGATTTTTTTGGATATTGGAGGATTCTGTTCTCCTGACCATCGTCAGGAGGCGAAGAACCTTCCAAGCTTCCGGGGTTTCCTGCTGTGTGACAAACTTTTAGATAGATTTCTTGAGAACTGGTGCTCAATTTTGTCACAGAGCTGCTGATATTTTAAATTTTTGTTCCAGATTGGAACAAAACCAAATTATGGTTTCCACCATTTCTGTCTGAAACAGCGCATTTGTCTCTGCATAGTTCTGGTTGTGATAGCAAATGATAAAATTGCATTAATTTTATTCAAACATCTGAATCTGTGTATCTGTGATTTTCCTATGCTCCTTAAGAGCAATATCTTTGACACTACACATAAAAAAAGCTATTAACTGTAAATATGTATATAATTTTTTAAAATTAATTGGAAGACTTTAAAGAAATACTGTTTTATTTTGAGATGAGCTATTCAAGTATTACATGAGAGGATGAGTTTAAAAGGAAAGGAGTTGGTTCTATGAAAGTGAACCTTTATTACGAAGCAAAAGAACAATAGTGAAGGAGGAGCTCTTTCAAAAACTAAATTGCATGTAATGTCTGCTTTATTTCATTTCAGTAAGAATCTCTTTGCCTTTATCATTCCATTTCTGAAGTCCAAAACACTGCCTTTCATTCCTCTTTTGTTCAGGATGCTTTCTGGAACTGGGTATTCCTTCTGTTTTTCTATTGTAACAAAATTTATAGGATTTAGTTATCATTTGGTTATACTCTGAAGTATATTGTTTTTATTCTTAAAAATAGACAAATTGGGGTATTTCTCATTTCTTCATGAGCTTTGTTTTCCTACAGTGCCCAATGATCCACTTGTGCCGACAGCTGTGTTAGGTGAGGACCCTAGTCCTTCATTATTCATTCCTGCATGAGTTTTGTCTCCTTGCATGGTTGAACGTTGGAACAGCTTGTTTTATGTAAAAGATAGCTATGCCCTTGTCAGAAAATAACTCTACACTCAGTTTATCAATTCAGAATTAAACTGACACTGCTTTTAGAATAAAAATTATTTTATGTTCTTGTTAAGAAATTATTCCTAGGCAGTGCCAACTGAAGAGTAAATGAGGAAATAGGTAAATGGAAAATACTAAAACTTTTCACCCCGGAGCATTCAAACTAAGTTCCAATGAACTGACATGTGAAACTAGAATTCTCTTCAGAGATACATGAAAATATTAGTATTATTTGGTAGCCAAAGCTTGATCTTCTATGTGAGTAACACGAATGAAAAGAAAAATAGAAAAGCAAAGAACTGAAATATCCAAGAACAAACAACAACTTTGTTTGTAGGTTCTCTACAAATATTCTTGTATACCTATATTAATTACATTTTTCAGTTGACCTTAACTGGTAAGTTTTTCAACTTTGTATTTACTTTAAAAAGAAGAATAGATGTTGGGGGTGTACAGGTTACTTATTTCTGTGGTGCATCTAACACTGAATGCATGTTTTAGAGGTTTTTTTTTTAAAAAAATACAGAGATAAAAGTATAATTTGTACCCAAGTTCTTGGTTTGATAAAAACAACGTGCAATATTGAATTTCAGTCAGTTGCTGAGGTTATTTTAGGATAAAAGAAAAATATCAGGAAGTAGACATGAATATAAACAGAGATTGAAAACCAGGTTTCTAGAGGTAAACCTTAAAGGGATCTGGAGACAATTTAATCCCATCTCTATTTTGAGATGGGACACTATACTGATAGTATAGACTGTTTCTGGTAATTGATTGTCTATTGTGTTTTAAAAATCTCTAGTGAAGAGAATTTTATTTTGCAGTGGCATTTTGCAGTACTTCACTCCTCCTAAAGAAAAATTCAGATCCATATTAGTATTATTTGGGACCCAAAGCTCAATTTTCTAACTGAGTATTAGTTTCTACTAACTAGGTGTTACTACTGAGTATTATTACTGCTCACTCCTAATTCTTCCTAACTAGACTAATCTAGACTACATCCTCATTGCTGTAAATTGAATCATTTCCTTTTGAGAGACTCATAGCACATATGGAGAACTGACTCACTCCTGTCCTTTCAAAACAGTCTTTTACCCATTGAAAGGCTCACATGGCCTCAATTGTCTCTCTTCTAGTTGAGTTAAACCCAGTTCTTCCACATGTCATCTTGTAGCTGATGTTTTCTAAGCTTGTTATCATTGTTTTCCTCTGAACACTTTCCAACTCATAGGTCAGATTTTTTTAATTGTGGTGCCCCAAATCAGGTACATTTCTTAGAAGAAGTCTCAATGCTGAGCTGTGTGGGATAGGTACCCCTATGCCCTACTTGTAGTGTTCCTGTTACCTAAACTGTATTTTGTCATTTTTCTTGCGCTTATGTTGCTGACTTGTACTGAGTTCCCTGCTAAAATCCCAGTTATCATTACCCGTTCCATTACTCCATTTTGTAGTTACATATTTGACTTCCCTTTCCTATACACAATATATTACGTTCACTGTTTAATTCACCTTGTTGATTTTTGCATTGTCTCCCAAATGATCAAGATAATTTTGAAATCTGATGCTGTACTTGTGAAGCGCTTGTGGTGCCTTACTGCTCAGTGCCCACTGCCCATACTGTCAGGGTATTTTCTATCCCATTATGCAAGTTATGGGTAAAAATATTGATAGAAAGTATACTCAGGAGGAGCCTTTGCAGGTCTTCATGTAAAGCATCCTCTGAGTCTGACAGCAAATTGCTATTTGTGAGTACTCTTTGGTCTTTGTCAAGCTGGGTATACTGACAGTGTGGGAGGTTTATCATATTCTGCCCATTTCCTTTTGCTAATGTTGCAAATGCCATTCTCTTGACTACAGGAGTGTCTTAGAAAGTTTATAACCATCAGAGCAATTAAATGCTGGAGCTTTTCACTTTAGGCCCAAGGAAACCTAACCAGGTGATTTAAGAAGTTTATGAGGAGTGGAGAAATAGCACCTTTGCCTGAAAGAGCAAAGGGTTAGACTCAGTAATTCTGAATATTTACCAAAATTAGATCAATGGACTTAGAGAAAATGAGTCTTTTCCTGGAGTTCTTCCAAGATCTTCTTGTATTTTTCTATCTTTATTCCAGGCACTTACAAGCTACATAGGTACTATCCAGTGATACTTGTCAAGCTATTCCTAATAGCTCATTTAGGCTATAAGCATATTCCAAAGGTCAATGTGTTGCCACTGCATTGTGGCAGACACAGACCTGGACAGATGTGAACAGCAAGGACAAGGAATTAGTTGAGGAACAGTTTAATAGTTCCTGTCTGCATTTCCACCTACTGGTAATGGTGTTTTGGGCATGATAGTCTCCTGGTATAAGCAAAGCAATGCTAGTTGGAAGAGGTAATATTTCTCATTGCATGTACTGAAATAGCAGAGAGAAGTAGACAAGCTTTTGGGCACACCATGTAGAAGGCGTTGGGTACCTGTAAGCTTGTTCCTTTGGAACTCGATCATTTGGCCTACTCTATCTCCATGTAGCCCTTGCTTGGCGCATCACAAAAAACAGTTTTCCTCTGTTTTATTTCGAGATGAGCAAATTTTATAGGCTCTAAATTATAGAACATGTTGTTTTATATGAAGCTCTTATTACTTTCTAGCTGTACCAGGTTTCTTTTTCTTCATGTATAGGTTATTAATGCTCCTCTCCATTCTGTGTACATTAGCATTAAGTTAGCATGACAATTTTGCATTTCTCAAGTCCCTATCATTACACTGATGGCATAATAATGTGGCCCTTATTTTTTAGATGGCTTTCGTTGTTACCTATTGTGAAGCTTTAACAACTTTTAATGTCATTTTCTTTTAGTCGTTTTCTAATATAGTCCTGAAATAAATTTCTTATGTTCTGTTCACTCATTGTTTTTTGCTGCTTCAATGGGTTAAAGTGCCTATTACTGGTAAGTATACTGCAACGAATGGGGAGAACTGCAAATCCTGAGGTGCTTTGAAATGTGTATGATTTAATATGGGTAACACTACAATAAAAAGTGACTGCTGCATGTCACTCATGTTATTAGGCAGTTTAGTGAGGCATAAATGTACTGAAATAAGCAACTTGTGTGACAGTTCAAAGAATCGAGTTTCTTACTAGGAGTTCTCATTTCAGAAGGCATTAACAGGGTTTGCATTTTGGTGGAATTGTAGAAAATCCAATGCTTGGAGTGTTCATTTTTCCCTAGAGTGTTTTACTTCCTAGTCTGGATCCTTTGCAAGGAAAATGGTACTGATTTCAAAGAATCGTAGGAGGAGTCGACTACTCACTTCTCCTTTCGGGAGCTACTTTCCAACAACAACAACAAAAAGTATTTTACAGAAGGGATTGACTAAATGTGATCACTTCATGCAGCTTTGACATTTGGTTTTGATATGAGGATTGGCGTAGCATAGGGCATTAGAGGAGACTTCTTTGTTTATGCATAGCAAAAACTGCAGCTGCAATCAGCACACTCAGCAGTTTCATTTCTCTACTGGGTTAAAATGACCACTCTGAAGTGCTGATTTCCAAACGGAGGTGGTGTTCTGAAGCGGTAGCATAATTGCTTCTCTTTTTTACTGGGATCTCAATTTACTGTTTGTTGGCTTTAGACAAATGATGTGCTGATACCACTACTGAGTTATTCTAATTCATTGTTTAAGGTGTAGTATTGCTGTTGATGCATATTAGGCATCAAAAAAGTTACTTTGGGTGATAGAGGCTGGAGTTCCCAAGTACATTAACGTCATAAAGTTTTGTAGCTTCAAATAAAATGCCCTTCAGACATCTTTATTGCGGGATGAAGGATTGCAAACTTTTGTATGTGTTTGCTGTTAAATTCCTTTATGTACTTCTCAGTATTTATGTGCTGGAGAGTAAGTGCTTTGCGTTCTCAGAAATTAGGCATGTTTTTGAAGGAAGAGGTTGAAAATAGATATTGATATGTACAGCAGCAGGTGTTACTGCTCCGCAGGTACCTAATGCATTGGTTTCTTGTGAATACAGATGAAAACCACAGTGCAACAGCAGAGTCTAGCCGGCTCCTGGATGTCCCTCGTTACCTCTGCGAAGGCACGGAATCCCCGTACCAGACCGGGCAGCTGCACCCTGCCATCAGGGTGGCTGATCTGCTGCAGCATATTAACCTAATGAAGACCTCTGACAGCTATGGATTTAAAGAGGAGTATGAGGTGAGATCTTCAGTGGTGGGTTTTTGCTAGGAAAAATCCCTTTGAAAGGGACAGCCTTTTGTTTGCATTACATTGCAAAAGAGCAGAATTAAATGTCATGGGTTTAAGTGAAAAACAGATAAAGATAAAGCAGGCATAAGATTCCTGTATGTGTAACCCAAAAGTGAAATAGTGAGTGGAGTCCAATGGCTTGAGCCATTAAAAGTGCCTGGAAAAAACACTATCTGTATCCTCTAGGACATAAGAAGAGGTGCCCTGCTGAATCTTTTTGGCATATTTTAAGAAGTTGCCACCCTTTTGTCACTGCTTCTTGGTTGAGATGCTGTAATTAGTTATGTGAGTTTTTCAAGCCATCTTCAATGTGAATCTCCTGGATTAGGTTAAAATGAAGATTTAACCTAACTGGTTTTGTGAGAAGCATGAACTGGAAGCACTGTCATGATTTATTATAGCATCTCAGTAGGGCAATTCTGGGACTAAACTCCAGCTGAGAAGCAGTAAAGACGTGCCGAGGGTAGTAACTTCTTGAAGATCTAATTAGACCTGCCTGAACATGTCTACTTACAACTTTAATGTTAAGTTGGAAGGAAAAAAATTCCCAGCACTGGAGGTGGAAGATGAGTACAGATTCGTTTTGCTTCTGATCTCTGAATCTGTTGTGATTCTTTGGGATTAGAATATCAGGCAGGACACACAGTAAAGATGGAATATTACTGCCAAGGTCGCATGCAATACAGCTAGGTTTAAAATGAGTTTTCTCTGAGTAGGTAATCTCTTCTGACTCAGTTTTCAACCTTCTCTCCTTTCTGCAGCTGTCTCTACTGTAACATAAGAACTGGAATAAATAAATGTGTGGTTTTTAAAAGAATATTATTCTCTTTTCCTCTCTTTTACTTAAGTATGCTTCATTGTGCTCTGCCTAACTTTAGGGCTAAGCCCAAGTGTACAACCTCTGCTAGGGGGGAGGGTGGTCCCTGATGCCACATCAGGTGTTTTCCTACTTGCTGCTCCTTCTATTGCCAAACATGACATCTTTGCCCTGGCTTGGGCTTCTGAGTGTGCGTTAAAGTTTTCTTTCCATCGCTACTGTGCACTTTCTGGAGGTAACTTACCCAGGTCAAGATGAGAGAGCATCTGGAAGGAAAGAATAGCATAGACCTGCAACAGCTGTAAAATATCTACGGGCAATGAAGAAAAAGCCGAGGAGGAATAAAAGCTGCTTCTGCCAATACTGAGAGATCAGACTTTTTAGAAGAGTTCAAAAATGTAGAATAATTTTACTAAGGGCTAGAGGGAGGGATATGAGGAAAAAGCAACATGAATAAACATAGGCAGAGGAAGCTTCCTAATGACTCTGTAGGAAGAAAAGCCATTTTACTAGGCAATAGGAGGAAAGCAACACAGTGCTGTAGTAAACAAGCTATATATTATGTTGTCTTGTAAGAAGGGTCATCGGTTTCCCTGTTTTCTCAGCTTACTGTTGTTCTTCCATAGCCAGGATGTCCAAGCAAGTTTAGCCTTCCAGCGATTCCAGGATTTGAAATCCCTGTGGAGTCTCTCAGTGACTTGCCCATTGACCTGTAGCAGTCAGAGGGAGAGCGCCTCCCTTCTCTAGATGGGTTCACCTAGCCATCTGGGTGACCAGAGCACTCAAGTAAACCTGAGCTTGCTTTATGGTAGGGCAGATCTTTTAAACTGTTATTTTTGGAGATAAATTAATGGTCAGAATGTTTTCTTTCGGAACGTTTTTATTTATAGAGTTTCTTTGAGGGGCAGTCAGCTTCTTGGGATGTCGCTAAGAAGGATCAAAACAGAACAAAGAACCGCTATGGAAACATTATAGCATGTGAGTATCGGTGTGCTTGGTGTGAGCGGTAGCCGTAGTCGCGTGTTACTCGTGCGGTGTCCTCTCTTTCTTTACAAGTCTCCGGTGGCAGAGCTGCTTAATACGCCGAGCGAAGGAGGAGGACAGTGCCCTTTCCAGCATTTTATTTTGTTCGTCACAGTTCAACTTTCTTCCTTTTGTAACTCAGGCTGAATTTCACATTTGCATCTCTGTTGTGCAAGATGTGGTAAGCATGTGACAGCGACAAGCTGGCACTCATTTGGATGTTAATTCTGTGGCAGTATTCTACAGTTATAATTTATTTCAGGTAAATCTGACAGCTTCAAAACTCTTCTGCTTAATGTGATTTATAGCTGATACACCTGAATAGCAGTTGTGTAAAACTGATTATTAAAAGACGTGACTAAAATCAGAAGGTTCTGTCTCTTGTCTTTAGGCATAAAGTTTCAATAGTTCAAATTCATCCCCTGGGATAACGCAATTTGTTGATGTTTTACAAATGTAATCGAACATGCAGGAATGAAGCTATCCAAGAAGTCCCTGAACGGGTAGAGTTACCTCTTCATCACATCCGAAGTGCATTACTAACCATTGATAACTTACTTTTTTAATGTCTCAATATGAACTGAAGCAGGCTGGGGTCGGAAGTAAGGAAACGGTAATCAGGATTTTCGGTTTTCTAGATTACCATCAGTGGAGCTGATTTTGAAAGGGACTTTGAGCAAGTAACCTGGTTTCTTTGTGTCTTTTTAACCATGTGTAACAGTGTGATACCTTTCAGCTCCACTTAATGAATGTTTTTGAAGTAATTGGAGACCTCAAACAAAATGGTTCTTTCTAATTCTATGTAAACACTTACTGCTCGAGTGTTGTAAATTGTGAGGCGCTTATGCCAGCTGATTTTGGATTTCTAGATGACTTACCGTAATATCTTACTTCAAAAAGGCACTGTAACCACTTGGTTTTTACAGATGACCACTCCAGGGTGATTTTGCAACCTGTTGAAGATGATCCATCTTCAGATTACATTAATGCCAACTACATAGATGTGAGTGGATTGCACAGCTTTATCCCTCTCAATTTGCCAACTTCTCTATGTGAAACTATTGCATGTTATGCCTACAAATTTATTGAAAGCTTTCTTTTATTAAGAACAAAATGTACACTTTCCTTGTTCTGCGTCCTAGTACTCACTGACATTGTTGTGCTTTCTTTCACATCTGACTTTGGTTTGGGCTGTAGATTTGGCTGTACAGGGATGTAAGTACCACTATATGTGAATAACGGCATCCTATTGTAAATATTTAATATAGATATTGTTATTAATTACTTTCCTATTCTATTTTTCTCACTAGATAACTATGCATGCTTCATCTAATTTGTCTCATCTGTTCCTTTAAAAATTTCCTTTTGTGTGAATATTTTTTGTACCTGTTTTGGAAAGATAATCTAGCCTTTTGACATAGCTCTGAATATTGTCACATATTGTTAGATAACTCAGGTGAACCTGTCAGAGAATTTGCTGTTTGCTTTTTTGTTTGTTTGTTTATGATGATGATTTCGGCCACTAGCTTTTCTTTTCCCCTTCACATTAATATGTGAGAAGCTGGATAGTATACTGTACTGTAGTAGTCTGCAAATGTACCTGTGAAGTAGTCGTAATGTATGTTTGGCAAAAAGGGATGGATGATGGCCCTTGGGAGGAGGGTGTTTGTTTTTAACAACAATTTAGACAAACAATATTTAGCTGACATTTGTCTTAAGGTGCTAATTTTTAGGTATTACAAAATATATACACAAACATATATATATATTATCATAGTCGAAATTTCCTTGCTTCTGCAGAAAATTTCTAAAGTTTGAAGTTCTATGCTTAAAAAAACAAAACAAAACAAAAAAAACCAAACTGATAGAAGCAGGAAATCTGAACAAATTCTGCCAGGTGTATTGATTAACAAACTATAACTTTTATCAAATTAACACCTTAGGAATAAACAAGTAATAGTTGAAGTAATTCCAAAGTAATTTGGAAGATACTGGAATAGATAGTACAAGAGTTTTTAAAATACATGGCTTTGGTTACTTGTCTTTATAATTGCACCTTACTAATTTTTCCTGTCCACTAGTAGTTGATAAATTATTTAAGACCCTCTTGACTCCCTAGGTTATAAAGATTTAGCTCCAGGTATATCACTGGCTTTTTATTTTTATATTTTTACATAGCAATCTGTGTGAAGTGTTAGGCCTGTGATATTTTGCCTGGGGCCTTAAACAAGAAAACTCTCTCAGATTTGTAATAATTCCAGTTCCTTGAGGACATTGTTTCTCTTATTTAGGGGTAAATTGAATCTCATTACAACCAGACAGGAAAGCTACAAGTTAAAACTGGCACTCTGCAATTTTAAAGTGACACTTTTACCTTCTTCTAGAAGGCATTACAGAGTGTAAAACAAGTGTAGCACAGGTGCCACTTTCATGATTTGAAACTGGGGCTTGATATTAAGGACTCCAGGAGAAATTTTTTAGTCATTTGGTGCAATCTTGGTCTCTTATAAAGCCGAGAGTAAGATACTCAAAAGCTTTTTCATAAGCCCCAGAGGATGGTGCTTTCACTCTAGACAAGATAATGAAGCAGTCCGTGGAAAAGGATGTATTGGGTGCATTGAAATCCTTCACTTTAGTAGAATCGTGTGAATACCAGGAATCCAAGGACTTGTACTCCCTGTAATGCAATACTTGAATCAAGTGGCCTAATAAAACTGTAACCTGGCAAATAATTGGAGTTATTTCTTTAACATTTGCAAATTGTGAAATTCTGTATTGTCTTCTCACCAGCAATACTGAAGTTTCCTTCCTCTTTGTAGCTAGTGTTACTGGCACTGGTCAAAATATATTCTGAACGATTTCCTCAAGAGCAGAAGCTCTTTATCCTGTAGTTTGTATGCAGACAATTAATGCTGCACAGTACTGCTAGCATTGGCATAGACCCAGCTAACTGGAAAGGCTTAATCACGTAGGGTTATCTATCTATCTGTATATGTATGTGTATATACTTGTGCGTATCATGTCCCGTATAATTGGTGCACACTTTGTGCAGTAGTGCAAAATAGTTTGCGGAAGATTCGATGGCAGTAGGACCTTGATTCTCTGCACACACCACAGTGTTCAGCTCTGTCCCTGTTAGTAATAGCTCTGGTACATACCTCTTTATGCTTTACAATAATTCTCTATTTAGAAGACAAAAGGTGTACATTTTTTCATTTTGGATTATTTGGGAACACAGATCAACCAGTGAGATAACCCGATAGCAAAGAGAATTTTTACTAAATTTTAAATAAATACCCCACTGTATTCAGCTGGGGAGATAATATCAATAGAGGACTAATTTTTAGGCCCAGGGGACCCATCTAGAATACTCCCTCCCATACACTACAATGTCTGTTCAAGTCAGATGTTCTTATTTCCATCTTATCTGTTGTCATTCGAACCTTTTCAGTATTAACCATTTTTTTAGGTTTTGAGCTTCATGCTGCTCTTAAATATTGGTTTGTTCTGAAAACATTGTCTAGAGATAAGAATTCTGTAGTACCCTTGTTCTTTGATTTTCCCTTCTCCGTTACTAATATGTTACTCAGACTAATTTATATTGCTGTTTTAGGGATATCAGAGACCAAGTCACTACATTGCAACCCAAGGTAAGAAATCTGCCAGCATTAATCAAACCAAATAAGTGTTCTCTGTAGTGTCCAGCAGTGTTTTGGTAAAATGAAAGTAAAAAAAAAAAAAAGTTTATCCAATATTGTGAGTTGTCATCTTGTATTGTGGTACATTAACATAGCATGTTCAGGTGGAATGTGAATAAATGCAAAAATTGCACTAATTTATCATGTTAATTGGATATTGAGCAACTCTTTCAGTGATAAATTCAGCTGATGAAGTCAGAAGCTACTACCATGATTTCCAATTATGAAGATGAATAGAGAAAAGAGGCATGTGGACAGAGAAGAGAACAGTTTCAGCCTGCCTTGAGGCATTTTTCTTTCCATATTACAATGTATTATTTTACTGTCTAGGATTTAGTCCAGGATGGAGACGGTGAAGATAGTAATGATAAATAAAATGTTATCTCAGAAAACCTGAGTAAAGTAAGGCCAGAGAAGGACAGAGCCTCTTTGTAGGAAGAAGGGAGGGAAATCTTTATCATATAACACCCTGCTAATAAAAAGAGGAGTTAGAGGAAAAAATTGAATTTATATGGAAATTTTTCGTTTCGTATTTCTGATAAAACTCCTCACAATGAGGAAAAACAAATAGATTAGTCTAAGATTGCACCGAAATATCAGAGGCTATGAATTAAAGTAAAAATAATTAGATTTAGATGTGTCATTATTTGATCTGTGAGTATAATCAGATAGCTGGCTGGAAATATCCTGTTATTTGTGCCCTCGGTTGATTGTAGCTGCACACAGGAAAGACAAACTAAAGGCTTGTTTAAAAGCAGGATGCTCAAATTTTTTGTCCATGTTTTTTTTTTATTTTTGTGTAAGTGCTGTCTAAACAGGTCACTCTATGGCAGTTAAGTCTGCATTTGTGTTTTATTTCTGTTTTACTATGTAAATCATTGCACATAAAAATGTGTAAAGGACACAAAAATTTATTGCTGCTTTAGTATGCAGCCTTCAATCTAGCATATGAAGGAAAATGGTTGAGTCTTCGGATGTGTGTTGTATGAAGTAGTATTTATACTACTGTTGGACTGTGGTTGGGGAGCTATTTCTGAGATGATTATAACAGGGTGAAAGCCTCTGTCTCTCAACTGAATGTGTCTTGTCTCTGCAGCAGAACAGGAGACAAAGCTTAAACAAGTGCTCCTCATTTACTTCACAGAAAAGTAGTTAAATTAGTTTAAATACCCTTCAGTGGGAAGTTCATGGCTCAGCGCCTACCCATGTTTGCGCACTTTGCTGGCTGCACAGGACTGGTACCACCTGCCCTCCTGGCCGATACTTCACTCCGGTGTGGACATCTCCTCGGTGAACATCTGAAGAAACTCACACTCAACACATTGTGTTTAACAAATGTAAAACAAACCTAGAAATGTAACTATAGATGTAGTCCCACATTGCTGCGTCCTTGTAGTTTTCAAGCAACTTTTGATGTTTCTCTACATGAAACACCGGCTATTAATTTCTTTCAAGTGGTAATTCAGTTAAACTGAGAAGATTCAGCATTGGTTAGAAGTAACAGTATAGTCTGGAGATTGGCATGATGGTATGATGATGTGGTTTCATGAAGCTTTCATCTCAGAACAAGTGCATTTGTGTGTGTCAGCTCTGTAAAGCACTGGATTTTATTTTTAGCATTCACTTTGACTGTTATTTCATTACACAATATTACCTGGAATTTTTCTTTCAGGTCCAGTTCATGAGACTGTGTATGATTTTTGGAGAATGATATGGCAGGAGCAATCAGCTTGTGTTGTGATGGTCACAAATTTAGTGGAAGTTGGGAGAGTAAGTTTTTGTTTTGTTTTTGTTTTAATGCTACAAGTTTAAGAAAAATCTATGGACAAGACATATTATCAGCAGAACGTAGAAGAGTCTTGTGAAGAACAGCCCCACATCCTGAGAGGAGAGGAAGGGGAAGGGTTGGTGGTCCAGATGTTGTTGTGGGTTACAGCATTGTGTAAAGCCAGAGCTAACTTCTGAAGAAGTCTGATGCTGTGTTGCTTTCATGACTAGTGAAAAATTGTCTGAATCCAAAATTCATAGTTCAGCAAAATAGGTTTATATATTAAGTCAGTCAAATGAGTAAGTGGAGTAGTGAGCAAACATGCTTCTATCTCAGTGGCTAGAAATCAGCAAATTATTTACAATTTAGTAGTAACACATTCCTCAGGGTGTAATGTAAAGTATCTGGGATTACTTGCAACAGTTTGATTACTGATATGAAATGCATCCCAGTTTAGCATAAGTGGAAATGTATTCCACAGCTCAGCACTGAAAAAAAAATAAATTTGAAAAAATACCCATTTAGAAATGAGTTTGGCATCTAAGTACAGCTGTGTAAAGCAGTGAAAATTCCTTGTAGCTAGTGCTTAACTGGACAGAATGACCATCAGCCATGACAAGCCACATAAGCGCGTGGTTATTTTGGAAATAGAAGTGGTGTAATGCCGTACATGCAGTAACGTATCCTCGAGCTTTCATTTTCCTTCGGTGTAAAACGCGTTCCCATTTTGTATTTAGGTCAAGTGTTACAAGTACTGGCCTGATGACACTGAAGTTTACGGTGACTTCAAAGTGACTTGTGTAGAGATGGAGCCTCTTGCGGAGTACGTCGTCAGGACCTTCACTCTGGGAAGGGTGAGCACGTTTGGAAAGGGCTCGGCAAAATACCATTCCCTGGTGGCAAGGAGCACGGAGAAGGCCATGCTTGCACGTGTTCTTGTACAGTACCAGATCCCTCTGTCTGGTTAGCAGGTCCACAGTGTAGGCAGCCTTACCTCATTGTGGGAGTAGTGCATTGCGCCAGGCTATCCAAACGTGTCTCGCTGTGGGATTTCAAATTTCCCCAGAAATGTTGACTGCTGCCCTCCCGTCTCTGACAGTCACCTCTTCTCTGTAGCCACACTTCTGAGCTGAGCTCAAGTCCAGGGTCATGAGCCGTGCTTGTCCTTCATCTCCATTCACTCTGCCCTGAGTGCCACTGCGTCAATCTCAATCAAAGAACAAACTCTGAGAATGCAAATATATGTGATACAGTTGTGGTCTTCTGGTAAATTGTTATACTTGCTGTAAATGTAGCAGGCCATTTTCTTAATTAGCAAAACTTCTGAAAATTGATGAGAATCACATCTAAGATGTCTATAAAGAAAACTAACGAGGCAGAACTAGCATACTTAATGGCAAAAGTAAAAATTACGAACTTCAAAATGAAAAAAACACAGTGACATCTTTAAGCTTCCTATGGTCTTTGCTTTAAGTAAGTGGTGAAACGATGAAAACAGCGTGCAGATTTTATCCGTGTGTTATCTTTATTTGAGTCAGAGAATATCTGGTCTATGAAATACTTTGAATTTCATAACTTTTTTTTTTCCTTCCCTTTTACAGAGGGGCTACAATGAAATCCGTGAAGTTAAACAGTTTCATTTCACTGGCTGGCCAGATCATGGAGTTCCTTACAATGCCACAGGCCTGCTTTCCTTTATACGGAGAGTCAAATTATCTAACCCTCCTAGTGCAGGGCCTATTGTTGTCCATTGCAGGTGTGTACAGAAGAGGTAGATTGATTTTTTCCACAACTGTGTTTGTGAGCAGTTACAGTAGTCTCTTGTGAAACATCCATCGTTTAGAAGTGTTTTGTTTTTGTTCCCTTTTTGAATTGCCTAATTCACACTGCAGTAGAATTTGGCCATCAACAGCAACATTTGGAAATAACCAGATTCTAGTACACTTTTCCCAAATTGAATAACCAGAGATTTTCTTTTTCCTGCAAGAGCCGCACCAGCTAAATCATGATACTTCAGGCTATCATTTTAGGTAGCCTACAACAATTTTGTAACAGTATACAAGAATAAGTGTAGTACAGCTGCTTTGATAGCTTGGTGTTGCATGTAATGTCTGAATAGATTCTTAATTTAAATCGAAGTAAACAAGTAGGTGAAGGAAGATGGAATGAGGTTAATGGCAACAAATACAGAATGTTGTTTTTCTAGTGCAAGTTTTGCAAGGTTTGTGCTGTTGGGACACAGTCCTTTGACAAATAGAATTTCTTTTCGGCATCGTCAAATGTTTAATAACATTCTGTTGTTAAAATTACTAAGCCTTTACAGATTTTATGAATTTGCTGTGCAAAAACTGTCCGTAGCTTTATATAAAACCTAAATAAATCAAGAGAGATTCTTCCGGATACTGTTACGTGTGCTGCCTGAACCAGCTTAGAGCTTGATTGGTAAAACATATGCTTGAGTTTTTTCTTTTTGTAATATATCAGTTGAAAATCATCCTTAGTCTTATTAAATAAAAACAGGATCTGTCATATTTTGAGGCGCATGAGCTTAACAATCCTCCAGATTTCAGTTTAACTAACGTTTCTTTTTTACTTTAGTTATTGATCTGGGTGATAAAATGAGAAAAACAAATTATGGGGTTTTTGCTGTTCTTAGTGGATCAGATCTGATGGAAAATGGTTGTTTTGGGCACACCAAAAGATTTAAAAGACATTATGAAGAGAAGGACAGAAGATAAAAGTTGGATAGTGGTCATGGTGAAAGAATCGAATGACTATAAAATTGCTCTCAGTAATGAATTTATAAAATTCATAGATGTTTTTGTGGGACTACTTTTTTGTGGGACTACTTCTAACAGTATTTACTGATTCTTTTTAGTGCTGGTGCTGGACGAACAGGTTGTTATATTGTGATCGATATCATGTTAGATATGGCAGAAAGAGAAGGTGTTGTGGATATCTACAACTGTGTCAAAGCGTTACGGTCCCGTCGCATCAACATGGTACAGACAGAGGTATGGCAGTTTGCCTTCAAAGCACCTGGTGCTTTCTGCAACGTGCTAGGTCACAATTTCAGTGTTACTCCGAGAAGAGCAGGCAGTGACCCCATCGAGGGATTATCGCTATTGGGTAGCGTTGCTCAGTGCACACAGCACCAAGAACCTGAATGGTGCAACAAACCTGCCACTTCTTTCAGTCTTCACACAAACAAGTGCCTGCCTGACTTTAAAAACAGGAAAGCAAGGAGGATTTTTTTAGGGAAGACCCTGCAGTAGGCCTGTCTGGCACGTCTCTCCGCAGCTCTGGTATCAGCAATTCCAGGAACCTGAAGTTAGAATTTCAGCAGGTTGCCACCAGTTTTAGACTATCTACAGCCACTTTGTCCATAATTTGACTTACCTGTGAAACTTTATGTCCATTTCACTCTCCCTTTTCAACTCTGGTTTTGTTTGCTTTATCAACCTCATTGCCAAGCCTTTTTCCTTTCCTACCCTTTTTGTCTTTCATCATGCCTTCAGCAACTCCACATTAAAAACATTGCTTTAGTGATGAAGCTATAACAGCTCCCATTCTGCCTCTTGAGTATTATCGCACTTCCACAGAAACGTAGATTATTGATTTATATTAAAATAGGTTACCTGAAGTTTTGCCACTTCTCTCTCCTGTCCTCCATGTGGACATCCACCTGAGAAGTTATTTCACCTGTGACCACATGAAGGTATATCGATGTAATTTGGTGGTTTTATTCCATGCTGCGACCTGTGGCTCTTGAACAAATTAATGTTCCTGATCACCTACCCCTGATACAGGTCATTAACCTTTGGGAAGTGCGTGGGGTGGAGTGTTTCAGTGTGGCTGCTTCAACCATCCTGGTTTAATCTGCTTTTGCATGTGAATTAACACCCCTACTGCTGTTCCTTTCTGTTTCTCTCCCTGTTGCCTCTCACTTATCTTCTCTCAGAGGCTCATACTTATACAGCAAAATAAAGCTGTAATTGCAGCAAGTTCTTGTGATGGTCAACTAGACAACAGCGATGACAATAGCTCCATAGCTATGTGGGTAAGGTAGCACAGGCTGTAGAGCCAGAATATGACCATTGTAGTTGGACATGTGCTCTTGTTACAGGCACATGTTAAAGTTTGTGCTGTTAGTAACCTCATCAGTATCCACAATATCTAGGTGAGGCTGACGCAGTTCTCACACCTTGCTGTATAGACATGATTTACATCTGTTACTCTCAGGGTGGATAAATTTAACAGGTGTTGTGTAAAAATTGACAGTAGGCCTCATTGAAATAGTAATGCAGTTGTCTAGGGCTCAGGATATCTCAAAACAAGTCAGAAAAAAAAAACCTGAAAGAAATGCTGTTTCTGTTGGGACGCACTTGAGTTTATTACTGGCCTAGAGTCGGCTATCAGACAATTGGTGTAGTAGCTTAACACACAGCGTGCCAAATAATTGCTGATCACACGAATAGTGCTTGAAGCAATTTATACTTTCTGCCAGTATTACAAGACTGAAAGCTATTTTTTAAAAACTAAAATGAGTAAAGCCAACAAGTCACTGGCATATATGCAGAAACCCACGAGCACCACAAGAAAACCGAAAACCTCCCATTAAATAAATTGCTATGCCTGTTCTGTTAAGTTTTACTGAACTTAAATTCGTTCTGAAGAAAACATCCTTGTTAACTGCATCGGAATTAGGAAAAGATCGTGTTTATACTAAAGCATTATTTAATGAATTGATGGACACTGCCTTGAATGAGTTTTACAGTTTGGAGTCGATTGCTTTATCCTAAAAGAAGGAAAGGTCTGTTGTTTTTAAATGGCTCTAATTTTTGTTTCTTTGCCTGATTCGATAGGAGCAGTACATCTTTATTCATGATGCCATTCTAGAAGCTTGCCTGTGTGGAGAAACTGCCATTCCTGTCTGCGAATTCAAAGCTGCTTATTTTGATATGATTAGAATAGACTCTCAGACAAACTCTTCACATCTCAAAGATGAGTTTCAGGTATTCGCAGTTCCTACTAACTCTTCATGTGACAGTGTTTTTTTTGCCTCTAGATACATTTAATTTATTTTAAGGGAAAGGATTTTCATATCATGCTTATAGCATTTGGTCCCTTACTTTTAGTTCACAAAATAAAGCACCCATTTTTATGTGCTTTGCAGAGTTGTTTAAAGTATGGAATATTCTTCTTAGAATAAAATTGCCTTTAATATCTGTCTGGAATAAGGAGCTCTGACTAGGAACCACAGAGAGTTTTGACTTGCATTTGCACAGCCAAGACATAGCGCTTTAAGGCTCCAAAGGATCCTCTTTGTTTTATTTCTTTCGGAGGGGATGGTGTCATGCGGAACCTGTTCAGTGGTACACGGAGCGCCTTTTGCACCTGCAGCCTAACTCCCCTTGAAAAGCCCCAGCATGTCCATCAAACAGATAGCAGATCTTATTTGCTAATGTCTTCTTGCTAATGCCTCACATTTTCCCATATTGCAATGTTTTAAATTAAAACTGGAGGAGTTTCAAGTCCGTTGTCTGTTAGTTCAGCGTGACAAAGCAAGCGTCCTCTCTCCCTTAGACCCTGAATTCTGTGACCCCTCGCCTGCAAGCGGAGGACTGCAGCATAGCCTGCTTGCCAAGGAACCACGACAAGAACCGCTTCATGGATATGCTGCCACCTGACAGATGTCTGCCTTTCTTAATTACTATTGATGGGGAGAGCAGCAACTACATCAATGCTGCTCTTATGGACGTAAGAGACTATCTTCTTTGTCTGCGTGGTGTGCCGTGAAAAGCTGTGTAATATGAGAGAGAGCACTTGCTGGTTTAAGAAAGGGTAATTCTTTCTTACTGTAGCGGCCAGTAAAATGGTCCTAACAAAGAAGGGTGGGAGGAATGGGTACTACCTTGTGTTGCTTGTTCATAAGGTATTTCATCTTTAGTCTTATACATCCTTCTGGACCCTACTGGAAATCTCTCCTTTTCAACAGCATTATGTAAAGCTCTGGTTTCCAGCCTTCTGAATCTCAAATCCCAGCAGGATCTCAAAAATCTGCTGTTTGTTGGGAAGTAAATATTACCTACTTGAGCATTAGGTTACTATTGCTGTTTTAGCAGAAAGGCTACATATATTGAGTCAGGAGAGACAGAAGGAGAAGAGAAAAATGTTTCGTTAGCATATTTGGGGATAGAGTTGGTTTTGTTGTTCATATTTTGAGTTGCCACTCTTTGAGCGACAGAAGCATTGTCAGGGGGAAAGGTGAATTAATGGGAAGAATGGAGGTGAACCTGCTTATAGGTGTCTGATCGATAAAGCAGTTCATCACTTGTGCTGTCAGATTCCTGCCTGTGCCTGCCATCGGCATTTCCCAAGTTAAAGCCCTAAAGTCGCCTTTACAGTAAATACTTAAATAAGTGGCCTGATTTCCAGGAGCGACTGCCTTTCCTCAAAAATGAAGCGCTGTCAGAAACTGCAGTGTCAAGAAGAGATGCTGGAATAAAATGTCAAATAACAGCAGAAATCATTAGGACTGAATGGTATTCATCCCAGAGTTCTGCCTGAGCCTAGTGCAGGAAACATTTGAACTGCTAGCAAAACACAATCCCTAATCTCACAATTAGCTATTGTGCCAGGAAAATAGAGGAGTAGCATGTGTGAGACCAATCCGTTAGGGAGTCGCCGGGCCTGAATGGGTGAATTAGAGCAGTGAGCAGAATTTTGGTAGCAACCAAAATTGTTTAGAATTGCAGTTAAAATTGCATTAAGCACCTGAATGAAATGGATGTGCTACAGACCAACCAACACAGCTGCACAGAGGAGTGTGGTCTGGGGAGAAAGGAAGACAACACAAGCCGAACAGCTGGGTGGCAGGAGGACTCTGAGTGTGTAACAGTGTGTGGCAGGCAGGGACAGGATCCAAGCAATGCGTTAATGGATGAGCAATCAGAGGCAGGTAAGGAAAGACAGAAATGGTAGTAATAAAAGGAAAAAAAAAACAGCAGGAAAAAAGTAATATATTACAATGAAGGTATGTAACAAAGCTGTGAGTACAGGTTAAAACTTGGGATAATAAAAGCTTTTTCTTGCCCTTTCTCTTCTGCTTTTTTTTTTTTTTTAAGACTGATCTATTCAGAGAGGGGGACCTCACTGCTGGGCAAAGAAAGGGGGCTTTTGATAGCAAAACAGAAATGGAAACTTTCCCCTCTCCACAATGTACTTGTCCCTGTGTTCCCACAGGAAGGCGTCTGCTTCTCAGTGTGACAGCAGATCTCCTGCCTGCTCTTCTTGAAAACCTGATCATCTCAGACTCAGTACATTCTCTCATCTTGGGAAAGACCAGAAATGATGGGGAAGAGGGCTAGGAAAACATCAACTAGTACATGTTTTATTTCTTAAAAATACAAGGGAAGAATCGATATTGGTTGTTCCTCTTTGCTCCCTGGGCTGACCTAGGAATTAGGACACAAGCTGCTACTATCCCAATATGCTTCGTGCATTAGAAAAGGATAGCAAACATAGATAAAAAAAATTGTCAGCCTCCTTATTCTTTGTCAAACAGGTACTGATGCTAAAGACATTAATTTGTTATCTTCACAATTTACAGCACGTAGAAGGGTGAAATAATTTAATTTTTTCCTTCTGGGCCTCACACTATGCTCTTCGAGGGTATGTCAAATATTGCATGTGAAGATCCTTCATATCCAGTCTTCCAACAAGCAAGCTTCCATACCAAATGTGCTTTAGCTACACTACCAGGTCTTCCTCCTAGGTTAATTTACTCTACTTAAAAAACAGCCAAACCACTTTTGGTACCAGCATGGGTGCTAAACACAGGTATCTCTGCGTTGCGTACAGCAGTCCCAGCACTTCGTCTTCAGACTGGTGACTTACAATCCCATCCACCTACAAGAATATTCAGCATCTTACTCTGTTTCTCAGATTAACCTGTCAGTGCTTCCTTGCCAGTTCATATCTGTAGTTCTTCACTGCAGAACTCTTCCATGCATAGTAGCAAATTGCCTGCAAAAAACTTCTGATCTCCTCTTCTGCTTGCTGCTCGAAATACATGTGCTTCTATTAGTTGCGTCTCAGCTAGCCTATGCGAGGCTGGAAATCCCGATTTGCAGTTGTGTATATTGCAGCAGACAAAAAATGGAATCTGCTGTCATGACAGGAAATAGTATTTTGCTGTTTAACTTCTGCTTTCTGCTGGAAATGGGCCCCAGTAATCCTGAAGGTCAGTTACGTGGGTAACCCTGTGGCTGCGGCACCGAAACAGAATTTGGGATTGAGTTTGCTCCTCGGTTCAGTCACAGAGCTCATGCGTAACCTGCTGTGGATTGGGTGACCTTCTGAGACCTCTGCACCCCTCTCTGCAACACGGGGAGAAGGTTTCCTGCTCCATCTCCTGGACACTGCCTGGAGCAGAGTTGCCAGAGGCTCAGCTCAGCAGAGCCCTGAAGAGCATCTTCAGTGCCTCGTGCATATCCGAACTGAAACAGGGCTTAGCCTGTAACAAAACGGAAGGCAGACCTGAGCAGAGTAACCTCTTTGTTCTTACTGGAGATGATAATGTATTTTTAACATCAGCTTTGGTGAAATCTGATGTAATTGATGTCGCAGCTTTGTTCTATTTATAGGTTTTTTCTGTTGCAGTGTTTTGAGTGGAAGTTATTAAGTACTTCCTCTACCAGTGCTAATAAAATCGTTTGCCTTTACAGAGCTACAGGCAGCCAGCAGCTTTTATTGTCACACAACATCCTTTACCAAACACTGTGAAAGATTTCTGGAGATTAGTGTATGACTACGGCTGCACTTCTCTTGTGATGTTAAATGAAGTCGACTTAGCACAGGTTAGTTTGGGGCTTGAGTTTTCCATGTTCCGGCGCATGTTTTAATCACTCTGGATCCAGTACGTGATCAAAATGTAGAGCAGTGCAGTGACTTTACAGTTATTCTTTGCTTTACAGCAACTAATTAACACTGGTTGCTCAGTAAAGGTTAAGTGAGATGTCTGCAGTGGAATAAGGCAACGCTCGAGTTGTAACTTACCGTTTAATTATGCCCGTTTTGTTCTGGCGCAGGGCTGCCCGCAGTACTGGCCCGAAGAAGGGATACTGCGGTACGGTCCCATCCAAGTGGAATGCATGTCGTGTTCGATGGACTGCGACGTCATAAACCGAATTTTCAGGATATGCAACCTAACAAGAGTAAGCATTATCGTAACAATATGTAGCAGAAAAATATGTCGTTTCTAATGCTCTCTAGGCTCCTGTGGTTTTAAATTTTGAATAATAGTAAAATACTAATGTTCTTAAAACACTGCCCAGAAAAAAGGCAGTCAAGCATTGATATCTAATACTGATTTCTAGTACCTTTCTGTAGCTACACACTAAGCAGAAAGAGCAGTGAGGTGAATGACTGTTGTTCTGCGGTGTTCTCCCTGATGAGTAGCAGGTGTATGAGGAGCGTTCTGTTGGTTCGGTGTGCGGTAATGAACATGTAGTGGCAGGTACTTAATTCACAGCTTCCGTAAGACATTTTTGCAGTGAATCAGGAACACTGAGGCTGGTTATGCAACCGGCACCTCCTCAGCCTAAGATACGAGAACCACAACATAAAAGGGGGATTGTGGCCACCTGCGAAGCGGGGTGTGAAAAAACTCTGAAAGCTCCTCTGCCTCTGATGGCTTCTGCACCACTGTGCACCAGCCTACATTTGTCATCTTTTTCTCAGCTTCAGTAGCAGTGCCAGTCTTGCATTCTTGTCAGCTCTTTCACACCTTGCACTGTCTTGTCTTTTTGCTGTCCCATAATGTGCAAAACACTCACACAGCATCTTCTCAAACCCTGCTTATAGAATCATAGAATCATAGAACGAATATGGAATATACATTTAACTGTCATTAATGTTGAAGAATTGTTGTGGGAAAAACTGCTTACTGTGTAATTACCGTGTACGCAAAGATTTTTTTTATTTTGGTCACGTTTTCTTTTTTCAAAGTGCAGAGATCAATTTGCATGTGGGCAGTATTTTTATCCAAACTTTTGTTTCACCCATATTCAGAGATAAGAAAAACATTTTCAACTCTTTATACCTTGTTTGGAAACTACAGGAAGCTAAGGTGTAGGCACACTGGCAAATATTACGCCATAGAACTTTTTTTGTTGTATTTTGAGACTTCCTCTCTTTTTTTTTTTTTTGGTTCATTTTTTTTCACTTTTTCCATTTCTTTTTTTTTACAGTGTTTTGATTTTCTACACCTCTACTTCTCTTTGTCTCCCATGCCATTTTACTCTTACATCTTGCTTCTAAATATCATAGAATCATCTCTCTACTCTGTTCTTCCTTTAGATCATTCCATATTCCTACTCCTTTTTGTCTTCTTCATCTCCAAGAAACTCAAATAGACTGTTTATTCTTCCAGTTATTAAGGCCTTCCCTGTGACAGCCTAAGTCTGTTCAGAGCTCTCCTTGTGTAGTATCTAGCACATGGAAGGCTCAGAGACTGGCAGCAAAGCTCTCATGATTGTCGTAGTCTGGCAAAAAGGGAAGACTTCAAGGAAAGTCATCACGTTTGTGCACCAATGTTACTTGTTGTTTATTTATAATGGGGTCAGTTCATGAATGGGAGCCAAAGGTAATGTCTCTGTTTCTGTAGGTCTAAGAATTTAACAGTGTTTTTTTTAATTGATTATTGATGTTAAGGATAAAAACCCTTGACACATAGAATCTAGGGAATTTATCCATTTAAAATAAGTCAGGGTAGGTTACATTAGTGATTGATAAACTGTGATGTTGTCTTCAATGTAGTTCCCTTTTTTCCTTTTTTGGCATCTTCCTAGAGCTCAAGCAATACAAATTAATGGAAACCTTACCATGCAATGTATATATACATGTTGGAATCTGTCCGTAATAGAAACACTTAGGTTTCATGTTAATTTTACATTTTAGTTTTCTAAACCAAGATGTACAGGTGCCATATTGACCTAAAGCCCTTTGGTTTCCTCAGCCACAAGAGGGCTATCTGATGGTGCAGCAATTCCAGTATTTGGGATGGGCTTCTCACAGAGATGTACCAGCTTCCAAGAGATCCTTCTTGAAGTTAATTCTCCAGGTTGAAAAATGGCAAGAGGAATGTGAAGAAGGGGAGGGCCGGACCATCATCCATTGCCTGTAAGTAATTGGGAGGAAGTTAAATTACTGCCATTCAAAGAAATGCTTATAAATTAGTTCTTGTTCTAAGTTCAAGCAGTATTCTTATGGCTACATTGTTTTGCACTTGCCCTTGTTTCATTTAATAAATAAAAAAAAAAGTACCACTGCTACTGTAGGTTGCCTTTTGGTCAACTTTTGGATTTGTCTTTGTCAGGTCAAGATACCATAGGAATGAGTATTTTGGACATGATACTACAGTGATACTGTGTATTGTCTCCTTCTGTACATAGTAGCCTGTTTTTCAAATACAAAATATGTACAGATCAATTTCTTCCGTACAATTTCAGTAAGGAAGTCTTTTATGCTGAGTGCCAAATGGTTATTTTTTGTGTATCTTTTGAATATTGTGTGTTGCGTTTTTTCCAGAAGGCATACTATATTTTGAGGGGGTTAGACTGAAAAATATGGATATATGAAATTAGATAAAAGTTCTGTAATACAGTACATGAACCTAAAACTACTGTTGGTAAATGACCACTGACTGCTTATCTGAGCCTGATATTTAAATGGGAGCTGGTTTGGGAGTTTTGAAAAGGTGGCACCTTTTTCTCCCTAAGCAGAGAATAATCAATCTCTCTCCTACCTTATTTAAAGATAAAAGTTTAAAACTTAAAAATTGAATTATGCGTTTCTCCTTATTTTTTTTAAAAAAGGCTTCTGTTTAAATGTTCAGAACTCACTTGTGACCCCTTTCTGCCTCCCCCTCCTCATTATCCATGAAACCTTCTGGCTAATTTAAACTCAATAAGAAGAAATGCATACCTTAATTTCTTTGAAATGAAGATTATAATAGTTCAGAAACGTCTCCAAAGGTCAAGAAGATATTGCATCAGTGGTGCCTTGGCATTACTCTGGCTAGATAATCCTCATACCGTAGGATAATTTAAGTGAGTCTCTTTCCAGAACTAAGTGGAGAGTGGTATACTTGCCATTGAGCTTGGGTTTTGATTTCAAATGTTGTACTTGCCATTGAAATGAGTTTTTGATTTCTAATGCCTATGTAAATTAAGCTATCGCATAGCTGGGCAGCATGGGAGGCTGTAAGGGCAGAATTTGAAAGCGGTAATTGAGAGGAAGGTCAGAAAGAGAAAATGCCTCAGACCAAACCCACTGGAGCTGCAAGGAGATTGCTAAAGCCTGATCTCCCTGTGGGACTCATGAATCACTCATGCTTACACAGTGAAAGAACAGAAACGCGTTTTGGATGCTCTCTTACACCATAGTGACATTTAACCAGCTCTTTTCCTTGCGTACAGAAACGGTGGTGGCCGGAGCGGGATGTTCTGTGCCATCGGCATTGTGGTTGAGATGGTAAAAAGGCAGAACGTGGTGGACGTTTTCCACGCCGTGAAGACTTTGCGGAACAGTAAGCCCAACATGGTAGAAACTCCGGTAAGCACCAGCCCATCAGGCTTGATACAGACAACCAGGGAGCCAGAGGTCCTCTTGTTGTGTGAGCTGCGTTCTCAGTCCTGTGTGCCCACAAAACAGAGCAAACCTATGTTGGGCCACAAGAAGAAAAGGGCATTTATCGATTGTCCACACAAGTCAGCATCATGTGTGGCCAAGCTAAGCATTTTATGCTACTTGTCTTGTAGTGGTACTGTGCTTTTCAAAGAAAACGTTCTGAGTTAGCAGAATGCACTTTAATCTCCCAAAATAACCCGGTCTCTTTGAAGACAGGTTGCAGCGGGTTGTGCTCACACAAACCGTCTTGAAATTTTACAGAGCAAGGCATTTCTTCTTGGTAGGAATAAGCTGTAAAGTCCAGATTAGTGGCTGAAGATATTAATATTTTGCTTCTTAATAACAACTGCTGCTTTGGAAGCTGTACTGAATAATGATAATGTTTTTTACTCAGATTCGTAGTAGTCAAAATGATACCTCAGGACTAAAATCAAAGACTTGGATCTGGTATGTTGCAAATGAATATATAGAATCATTTAGGTTGGAAAAGACCCTCAAGATCATTGAGTCCAACATAATAAACAATATAAACAATACACTAATATAAACAATATGAGCCTGAATTAGCAAAACCACAAGACTAAATTTAATTCATACGTACATTGTCAGAATGTAAAATAACCTTCACTCTTCTGTCAGTCTTTACATGTACAGTGTATCCGTCCGTGTGATCACTTCAGTCATGAAAACTGAACATTGTGGAAAAAAATTCTCCCAAGGGGATTTTTTTTCTTCCTGTAGGTGAATATGAAAGCAGGTTAGACAGTGTTAGGGAGTTTCTGCCATTTGACTCTCACACTGCCAGCGGCCAGTGTCACTTTTCAGCCAGATGACTGCTTACAGCATAAAAATCAGGGATGCCAATTGAAATTAAAAATGTGTTACAGTTTATGCATAGTGAAAGTTGCTTCTGACCTTGTGAACTTGGATATTGAGCAAAATGGCTGTAGCTGCCCCTTCCTATATTGCCCTTTTTTCCAGGTTTCAGTGTTTACTTAGTATCAAGTAGCTTCTGTGGCACGATTTGCTTAATTTTTGTGCATCGCTTCCATCTCTTGCCGCCTAATAAATTAAGCTGATGGTTAAAATATTAACAGACAGAGCATCCTGTAGCAGCAGTGACACTGGGCGAGGTATTGCTGGGTTTGCCACAAATACTTTGCAGTCTCCTGTGCCATAGACAGCTGAGACACAACATATTGAATTGATGCCTGGATTTCAGTTTACTGCTATAAAGAAAAGAGGTCAGATCACCTAGAAAACTGCTTGTGTCACTGTAAGGGGAGGCCAAGGTAGATCGTGTGTGTTTCTGATAAATTGTCTGTAAACTTGTATTTCATTTCAAAATAGTCCTGAATTCCATTGTAGCTTTAATCTGCAGTTACTGAATTTCCATAGTTACGTGTTTCTGTTGTGTGGGTTTTTATTCAGAACTCTTGAACAGCAGCAGCTGTTGAGTCGTTAGTTAGAAAACAAACCAGGAAAACCAATATATATCACTGTCATGTGCCCTACATTCAGCAACACGATCAGATAACAAAAATGAGCAGCGCAATAAAGCCTTTAAGATATCCTCACCACTTCCTGCTAATGGACCATGCTAGCTTCCTTTGCAAACAAAAATAAATCACAAAAGTAGATTGGTTTTGTTAGGTTGCAAGGGAAATAGAGATTAAATTAATTTCCTTGGTTTTTCTTCTCCTTCTTGCTCTCTTTCCTCTTCCCTCTCCTCCAGTATTGACTCTGAACAGCAGCCTTGTTAAGGAGAAATACTAACTGCATCGAAGTTTTGAGCTTTAACTTCTCTTTTAAATGTGCATCTGACCTCTTGTACGTTACATCAATACGACTGTACAAATGGGCTGTGGGCCCAGAGCAGCTTTGTATCACGGCTCAGCGTTCCCTACCCATTCCCTGGCCGTCCAAGCAGCAGGCACTAGTTAACTGCTCAGTATCAGCTAACTTAAACATAAATGGTATATCAGAGTCGAAGTGCTTTCACTGCAAGAATGCTCTGACTGATAGGAGAACTTTTCATGTTTGATAAACCAGCTCAGAAGCTGAAAATATCAGAGAAGCAAATCATTGCATTTCATGGTCAGTTTTTTTTTCCAGTTCATGGGTTAGGGTGAGATTTTAAATCAGAGCTGGTAATACAGTTGTGTAGTAGAGGGGAAAAAAAAAAAAAAAAAGAAAACCCAAACATGTCAGACTTGAAGTTAAAATTGCAGAGTAGTTAGCAAAGACTATTCTTTGTAGGCATTGCTGCTAAGACTTTAGAATCTTAATTTAACTTGTCTTTTT